ATCCTATATAAAACATTGTAGTGTAATATACTAAAATAATTTTTAAAAATTTCATCCGTCCAATTTAAAAAAAGAAAATAAAGAACAGCCAGGAGTAAAAAATAAACTCCCATTTTTATTGTTGTTTATAGACCTGGAGCCATCACAAGGTATTATGAAGTTTATTATGACATAAAAATAAAAAACTAAAAAGGGCAAAAGAAGAAATACCATACCCTAATCTTTCAGTGCTTCAATGACCTTACATATGGCCTCAGGAATGCGGTGAATAACACAATTCTGGTGAGTGAACCAAACCATCACAAAATATTCAAGTTTGGGTCATATTCATGGAGAGCTTTCCGGCTACGAAGGTTACCAAATCTATAACAATCTCTAATCTAGGCAAGAGATACTCCAAACCAAAGTTAAAAAAATCTGATCAAGGAGAGAACTTTTTAACTCGTAGACTCAGCGGTGTCGTTGGCACAATTAGTCAGAGGTGGGAGAAAAGCAATAGATATATCTGCTGCCATATATACCACAACAACCTCAGCTTCAAACTCAACATCCTTTTATTCAAAGTATACTTAATCCTCAACTTCAACATCAAATTCTCATATTCCCCCTTCATCAAATACCACAAATTATACAAGTTTATTAATATCATTCCTTTCTGAATTCAAACCCCTTTGTAATTCCTCTGATATTACTTTTCATTGATTAAGTATTTCACCTCTTGTCTTCTTTGAAAAATTCTCTTTTTTTTTTTTTTTTATTACCAGATCGGCCTGGTGGCCTTACATGGTTGTTGTAAGAATTTGATGATTGAAAAATTCTTAAATAACTTCAAAAAAATCAGTATTCATTCTCTCTTCCCAAACTTTATTGCTTAAGAAAATCGTTGATGTGATCTCCACTAATAGACTAGGAGCTACCGACCATTTCATTTAACGAAAGGGCTTAAAGCTAGTAACCATTTTAAATTCTGGATAAACATCATCTGAACACACAACATTCTCAGTCAGTTGAAAGCCGTTGCTTTCTATGCGAAAATCTAAATTAAAGAGACGAAATTTGACGGTTCATTTAACGAAAGATAATGCGGCTGAAATTTTGATATGATGTCAAGAATATGTTGCTAAAAGAGAATTCACCTTAACTGACGATGTACTCTTTTGTGTTTTGAAAATTGACGCTTCAAAGTCATCAAATTAGACTAGTATATTTTTTTTTTTTTTTTTTTTTTTGGATGCTGAATCAGAATTTGATGTTTCCGAACGAAATTTCCCATTGTATTCCGAGATATATACAAAAAGAGCGAAATTTCCGAACCTAATAGTAAACAAATAATTATTGTGAAATAAGCAAACAGTCAATATTCTCTAACTTCTCACCCATTGTTCCTACATCAAAAAGGTACGTATAAAATTTATAGTAAATTTTATCTTCTTCAACTTTGTATGTGATAATAATTTTGATAAAATGCATCGTTTCGGAGTCAAATCCAAAAAAATACAAAAGATTCATAAATTTCGCAATTTTTTGCGTGTATCTCGGCATGCAATGAAAAATTTCGTTCAAGAGCACCTCCAGCATCCCAAAAAAAACCGAAGAGAAACCGACTATTTGAATTTTTTCCGCATCCAACTACTAACCAACTGGCCTAATTTGATGACTTCGACGCGTCAATTTTTAAAACGCAAAAGAGTACATCGTCAGTTAAGATAAATTCTCTTTTAGCAACATATTCTTGGCATCATATCAAAATTTCAACCGCATGATCTTCCGTTAAATGAACTGTCAAATTTCTCCTCTTTAATTTAAATTTTCGCATAGAAAGTAACGGCTTTCGACCGATTGACCGAAGTAGTGTGTTCAGATGAGGTTTATCTAAAATTTAAAATGGTTACTAGCTTTAAGTCCTTCAGTTAAATTAAATGGCCGGTAGTTGCTAGTTTATAACCTCTAAACATTGTTTCAAAATACCATAATACTTGGCATACCTACGACAAAGCACATGCTGGTACTTCTGCCATTGTTCATCATCCTCTTGCTCATCATCTACTCCCTAAGCCTATCCACGGTTTCCTATGAGCCACCGCTGAAGTTATCAAGACTTACACGTCTAAATGAATTCTGCTCTGACCATAGCCTTCTAATTCTCCAAGTTTTTTTAACTCCCATTTCCAAACCTTTTTCATTAGAAATCTAGTTAACTGAAACCTCTTTCGTCAAATCCTTTCTAACAAGAATTACCTTAGATTATGCTTTACTAGTATTATCCAACAAGCAGTCTATACTGCCACTTATCCAATCGAGACTTCCGGAATTCTTGATGAAAATACTTTACCTCTATATCTCCTGGATCTGATGCATTATAACCCCGCGCTACATCATTCAGAACGTGTCAGACATTCCTCCGATAGCAGCTCCTACAACTATTACTACAAACAAATAAAGCTGAAATTAGCCACCTATAGATTCCAATCATCAATTCCTACCTGTCCTCCCATTCTGCACATTACAATTCCCTGTGTAATATCAATAAAAAAATTCTAAATTCCCATCAAAGTTCCGTATCACCCTCTACGAGATTAAACATCTGATGCAGGCAGGAAATTGAGATGGACAAAGATATTAGCGGTAAAGGTATTTATACTCTATTCGGTCTTCGTCTTCTTGTACGTCCGGTAGTCTTTCAAGTGCGGGTCCTATATGACTATTACTGATGTTACTTGTTGATTGTAATTAATGATTGTATTGTGCCTTTAATATTCTCGAGAAACAAATCAATATTATATCTGTTATCTTTTAAACTAACATAATAATATTTCTTGGTGAGATGCACTATCGGCCTTGGGGTCGGAATGGGTACCCCTGATCGTGGCCATTGACACATGAATCGGGCATGTATTATTTCCTGTACTAATTGCTTTGGAATTGCAGCCTCATTAGTTTCTTAACTATATTACATTCCTTCTCACAGATCTGCCTCGTTCCAAAACTCCTTTATTGCACGTTCTGTTAGTTTCTGGAATTCCCTTCCAATCAAAATTCGACATTCTTCATCCTTATCTACATTCAAAACCCTCCTATTCCAATTCCTGTCCCAAAAACAGTCAGGCACCAGCTAATATTTTATGTAAAATTACACATTATATATAAGACCATATTCACATATAGCTCATGACCTGAATACTTATTATAGATTCGACTTTCCTTTTCTCTTTTTTTTTTTTTTTTTTCTGTTTCAACAGAAACAGATTTTACTGTTAAGAAGAATATACATTTATTTTTTCTGTATTTTTTATTTTTTCTAAAGGGTTTATTTATGTTTTAACATCGTAAATAGTTTTAAGTATCTTAGTATGGTTTCAAGAGTTTTTTATATAGATTTTTATATTTTATTTTGTATATAGTATGTATAACCAATATTTTTTTTCTTTTCTTTCTTTAATGACCTATCATTATCTTAATTTGTTATGTTTGTTTTTATCTGGCCAGATGTAAAATTTAATTTCTGTACTTTTTTGTTATTCTGAAGGGACTTCGTCCCAGAATAAAATTATTTTTCTATTCTATTCTATTAATAAGTAATAGGAGCAATCACTGCAGTATTTTCTTTTAAGAAAGTTAAATTTAATATATCAATGACATCTTTATACAATTTACAATTTTTATCTCAATAATTAATGAGGAAATATAATTTATTATCTTTAATTAGTCTTCTTCAGGAGTGAATTCAGATTGAGGAAGAAAGATTCCGTCTTCAACCAATGCGTCCTTCTTTTACTGTATTCCGAGAATCAAGCAATGGTTCAAAACGGAGTGACCAAAGGTATTTCCCCATTGTTTCAGGACTAAACTAGACTTGTATCTTGTTTTAAGCTTTTAACAGTGATTGACGTGAACCGAAATTTTTGTTTTTAACTAAATATAAATGTTAAACTATACAATACTTATGTGGTAAATAGTCATTGGTGAATTAGCATCTTCTTCTTCAACTTATCCTGCTATCTCGCCAGATACTTCAAACATTAGAACAGAGTCCTAATGAGCCCCCACATGCTAGGGTTGAAACGGCACGAATAAAAACCTTAAAAATGACCGCAACTTGATTATTAATCACCTATGTTATGTAGGACAATCGACTACCTTCCTTCGATAAAGAATGCATAAGAAACTTCTATTTAATAAAATATAACGGGATAGGATGCAAAATTTTAAATACAAAAAGGATATAATATTTTTACTTGGTCATATACCTAGTAGCAAATACACCATATTAGTACAAATACTAACTGTCAAATGTCAAATCATTGGAATGATTTGAAGTAACCTCTTTGGAGTTATCCACTGTTTACTAAACATGTGTCTAGCAACGTCAACCGGGAGTTTACAGTTGTTATCACTCTAATGTTAAAATTTTGTGATAAGTATAAATTAATTATTTTTTTATTTTATTGAGTACCTAAGGCTACTACCTCATTTTAGGTCTTTTTAAAAATTTTATATGAAAGTAGTAGATGAAAAACCACTCATTGTTTCTTATTAGTTTTATTTTTATGCAGGTTTTCTCTTGAATCTGAAATATTAAGAAATTAATAAGACCTATTAGTGAAAAATCTGACTAAAATTGTTAGAGGATGACAAAAACCAACATTAATTGTGGTAAACTGGATTATTGTTTTATAATTTTTGTTTATTAGCTTTGTTTTAAATGCTGTGCATTTTTTTTTTTTTTAATTTGAAGAAGCCAAAAAGAAGAATGCCTTAGATGACAAGTCTGGTGGAATTCCCTATTCTCCTATAGCTAAAGTTCTTTGTTCCAGGTCAGTAATCCTTTGTATCTAAACATTTATGTAATTTACCATGAAATATTATTTATTACTATTTTTTTTTTTAAATAATTTATATTTGTTTCAATTTTTCTCATCAGGAATCAACAGGTATCCTTTCTCATTTGCTGGATATGACCTTAAACTATATTTTTTGTGTTATTAGCCATAAAAATATTTTTGTTAATGTTTCAGGTATGAATTACCTTCCTGTGGAATGAACAATATCATTATAGGAATTCTATCCAGTATATTTCTGAGATGGAGCACTGGACTGTTTGATTACTCAGGCAAAGGCCAGCCTCCGATGTATGGAGATTATGAGGCACATAGGCACTGGATGGAAATAACTTACCATCTCACCCCCTCTGAATGGTACTTTCAGTCAGAGAACAATGATCTTCTTTATTGGGGTCTCGACTATCCTCCTCTTACAGCCTATCACAGCTTTATAATGGGAGCTGTTGCTAACCATATAAACCCACAGTACATTGCCTTGAATGAGTCTAGGGGTTTTGAATCATATGGTCATAAACTTTTTATGCGTTATACAGTCCTTTACTCTGATCTTCTTACATACCTGTCAGCTGCAGGTCTGTTTTCTTATGTTAATAATAAATCTTCTAACAAAAGTAAATTTACTATGATGTTGGAAACGTATGTGTTACTAGCGTATCCTGGTCTCATTTTGATTGACTATGGACATTTTCAATATAACTGTGTCTCTTTAGGACTCACCCTTTATTCAATAATAGCTCTTGGATCTGGATATGATGTTTTAGCTTGCATATTCTATTGCCTTGCTGTGTCATATAAACAAATGTTACTTTACTTTAGTCTTCCTTTTTTTTTCTATTACTTGGGACTTTGTCGACAAAAAGCTAAATCAACTACTTTCAGAGAAGGTTTAAAGAAATTCATTCAGGTAGCACTTACAGTAACTATAACATTTGTTATATGTTGGTTGCCTGTATCCAGAAACTTGGAACAGCTTTTTCAAGTAATTAATAGAGTTTTTCCAATAAATAGGGGGGTTTTTGAAGACAAAGTTTCAAATTTTTGGTGTTTGCTTAATGTGTTTGTTAAATTTCGTTTGTACCTGAATAACACAATATTAGCTGTGATTTGTGGGTTATTAACTCTTGCTGCTTCACTGCCATCTTGTATTAACCTTTTTTTTAGACCTACAAAGCATAAATTTATGCTAACACTTATAAACTCTTCTCTTGCATTTTTCTTGTTTTCATATCAAGTTCATGAAAAGACTATATTGATAGTTGCTTTACCAGTGATGTTAATTTTCAGAGCAGAGTCGTTGCACTGTTATTGGTTTCTAATTGTTTCTTCATTTAGTATGTTTCCTTTGTTGTTAAAAGACGGACTGTTTATCCCATTCTGTAGCCTTTCTACTATATTTGCTATGTCTTTGACTATGTTTTACAACATTCCTGAGATTGAAAATTATTTCAAGAAGAGACCAACATACCACAAATGTGAGTATTTATTTACTTTTTCAATGTTTTCATGGGTAGTTGTGTTATTATCAGCAGTACTTCTGAAACCTCCGGAACGTTATCCTGATCTTTTTCCATTACTTATATGTTGTTATTCTTCTATCCATTTTATATATTTTTGTATTTATTTTAATTATGTTCAGTTATTCAAAAAATACAAAAAAAGTGCATGAGTTGATACCATTTAGTGATTCCTAGCAACAGTTAAACTCAACTGACAAAACTTATTTGCTGTTCGAATGTATTTGTTTTAAATTTGACACTAATGTGTGTTGTATTGTAAATATTTGATAACTGTTTATGTTATTTAGCTCATAATAAATCAAGACTGTTAGCTTTTTATTTTGTATATAATTCAATTTTATATGAATGTTGTCATATTGACTCCTTATATTTATATATAAATACACGAGGCATTTTTTTTTTTCAAATTTGACATCCTTGTCAAAAATCATGTATAACTGTTGAATTATTTCAAATTCAGTTTGAAGATTTCTTAGGAATCTAAATTTGATGTCACAATTTTTCAGTGTTGGACCTCATATTTTCAGCTGTCAAAGAATTCATCACTATTATTTGAGTATATAAAAAATGTTATTTGGAAGCTATTACTTTAAAGATATTTTTCTGAATAATGTGATCAGAACCAAAATATTTCTTCAAAGAAATTAATATGTGCAAAATTTTAATTTATTTATGAGCATCAATTAATACTTTATCTGGTCAAATTATTTCATGTTTAATGATTTGATCATTAATTATTAGCAGTTAATTGCATCAATGTGTGATATGAACTGTACCTTATCATATTAGTTTTGACCAAATTTTTGTATATATTCCTATGCCTTTGAGGAAAATATGGCACTTAAGTTTTTAGTTATTATCTTAATTTATTGAATATTTATTATTTGATGCTGGTAAACTATTTTTGAGGTATGCCTAAAGTAGTACTTCTCTTCTCTGTTTGTTGCCGTAGCAATCTTCAGATTACCTTCACCTGTTATCTTACTCTGCTATGTTATCTAGGGATATTAAGTGGATATGAATTAAGTGTGGAACCATTTTTCATGGAGCATCGCTTCTCACATCCATTTCCAATTTTCATCAGTTTCATTTTGTTTCAAATCAATTTTCAAAATGAAGATAATTTAAGAGGGAAACAAATCAAGATTTAATGTCGAAAATGCTTGTTATTTGTCTAGTACAATATTACTCCTTTTGGATGTACTTTAAAAATCTGAAAGTGGAATTGCCAACATTATTGTACTTCCGTGAGCACTTTTATAGGAGAATAATAGCACCTTAAGGTTTTCAAAAACAATATTTGGCTCAGAGTCAGGAGTTTATTAGAGAATGTAGAGAATAATCGCTATACAATGCGGACTAAGGTGACTTTCTCCTAATTATTATAATTGAATGGGTTAATTCATGTAGGCTGAGGGGTAGAAAAATATGTAGCTGGAAGGATTGTGTTATGAAGGAACTTATAAGATTTGATTTTGATGTTGTTCAATGGAAGGAGTTATGTAGGCATCTATTATTTGAGTTTTAGCACCAAAACGTTTGGTTATTGAAGTTATGATTGATATTTTCGAACATTACAGAATGTATCAGTAAGAATGACCTGATTTCAGCGCATTATAATCACGGAACAGTGGATATTTTGAGGAAGAAAAGAATGTTGGTTTTATTGATTAGGTTCATGTTATAGGAAATAGCCATCTGAAATCAGTTGAAATATTCACTAAGCAAGGATGCCAGGCTGAAACATCTTGCTGACTGTTCAATAGTATTTTGATGAAGACTTGTTTTTTACCACATGAGGATGACTCCAATTATTTAATGTTCCTACTTTATGGAACCTTATCAGACTGGCACTATAGTGTAAGAAAATTTCTAATTGACATACTCTTTGAATATTTGAGTGGACTCTGCTCTTAGTATTCTGAAACACTGCCTTACTTACTTTGCCTTCTATATTTTGAGACATAGCCCCTTATATATTCTTGTGGACGTATGTGCTTTGAACACTAACAGGCTCGGCAACTATGGCCTTCCAATATAAGCTTGACCAATAAGTATCAACTATCATGGTTATTATGGTATCTAAGGGACTGGCTACACAGTACAAGTTGCTGACCTGACAGTGGACAGCTACTGCACCAGTGTACTTCGTGTGACAGTTGCTCGACTCGCCTCGCTCGGTCACACTAGTGCCAGCTGCAGGCAAGAAAGTAGACAGTTACTGTACCTGTGCACTCAAATCAGTTCTTCACAAATGTTGTGCAGCGTTCTTGTGCAATGTTGCCACTGTTGTAAACAAATAAGGTTGGCTTGGGGTAGATTACCTACAGTAGTAGTCCTTTGTTAATTGTTGTGATGTTTGTGTAGAAGAATAAAAGTTGTTTGTGGAGTAGATGGTGTAAAGGTTTTATTATTCAAGCCTCATTTGTGCTTGAATTGATTTCCTAATATTAAAAAAGCGTTTTCAAAAATACTATGTGCTGAGATACTTCGATCTGAAGTGCAAGAAAAAAGAAGAAGAACGACAGAAGCGAAGAAGCAATGAATGCAATATTTAAAGAAATATATAATGAAGATCCCCGAGAATATGAAGCAGTAGTGAGAGTGGTCTGCACTCCATCTATCCGCCATTATTTTGTTTTTACAATCACTACAACTGAAAAACAAAAACACTTTCAGCAAAACGAAAAGGCATGGTCTTCCAAGGCATACGAGCTGCTGTCATTTCGCAATACCATGCTAGTTGATGTCCGAGTCGCAGGCAAGTGGCTGGTTTTGACTTGGATGGGAAAAGCGAGTGGTTACTGACCTCCTCGCACATGAAAATAACTCATAAAATGTGGTCACACGGTGCAAGTAGCTGCATCGCTGTAACTGACAAGGCCAGCTCAGATGCTAGCTCGCACTGTAGCCAGGCCTTAAGGAACCGGAGTGCTACTATTATAAAAAACCCTTCATTAACTTTTTTCCTTTTATCTATGAAAATAGTTTACTTCTGAAGTAAAGCTGTATTTGAAGAGCTAGGGATAAAAACTATGAGTTTTAATTTTTTGGTAATATAGATTAGCATATTTTGGATATAATAATTCAATAATACTCATAGATTAATGTTTATATCTTACATGAGGATAAACATTGTAAAGAGAAAAAAATAGATATTATGTAATTATGATTATTGTATATATTTATCCTAGATATAAACATTCATCATTTAACCATTTTCAACAGAAGTTAAGAAAGAGTGGGACCATACTGAGTAATAAATTTTTTTTTATTAATAGCAGTATTTATTTGAAATCCTATCAAACCTGTCAAAACAATTTATTTATTGACAATAGATATATATATATTTTTATTTATCAAACGGTTTAGTTTTTAAGTACAATTTTTGTCTTTAGTACATTCTTGTTGATCATTTTTTATGTCATACCTGTTATGCCAAACCCTGGTAAATCCAATTTTTGAAATCTTACTGGAAATAAAAAAAAAAACTACTTGTCATTGAATTTAAAAGAATATGAAATAATTTTACTGGGCTCCTGGAGTACTGATAACTTGATTGTATGATCAAGTATTAGAGGTGTTATTGTAATGCCATCCAAGTTGTATGGTTCTCAGAAATCTGAGATGTTTTATTGAACTCAAATTAATTTAAATACTTTGAAAAATATCTTTTCAAGCTTTTGTTATTAAACATAAAAAAAATTAGGGTTATAAAAATGTTTTAGTAAACAAATTATTATTAGCGGGGTTTTTAAGTCCAGTTTACAAATGAATCAATATGTATTAATATCACCATTCAGTTTTTTAACCTAATTTTGTCATTTCCCAACATCATGCAAGTTGATGTCCGTGAGGTCAGGCAATTGGCTGCTTTTGGCGTGGTGGAGGAAAGTGAGTGGTGAGTTCAAACAAAAAATGTATGGTTTGGGTTGATGGTTTGAAAGGAAACCTTTTTAGACATATTATGAGATTTAGCATATCTCAGAGAGGATCTCAACATAAAAAAAAAATATATTGAGTTAGAATTAAATAAGCTTCATATCTGTAATGAATATTTTGAAATTTTTTCATTTAATGGTCGGTATTTTTCTTCATAACTTGCTAAGGGTTGATAAAAATTTTACTGTTCTCAATCTATCACAAAGGATTGCTGTTAGATTTATGGGTTCATGATAAGTAGCTGTTATGTATAAAGAATAGGTGTGCAATCTGTCCCAGAATAGAGGAGGGTGCAAGCACAACCACTTACTAATTAGTTATATATAAAAGTTTTCATGTTGGTATATTTGATTTAATTTCATCACAAAAATTGTTTAGAATATTTTTTTAACGATATATACTAAACAATTTTCCAGGAAAGTACCCTCAGACTTGAGAGTATGAAAGTATCTCATTTTACTGGGGTTTGTGCACCCTCTAGTTCTAGTTTACCACATATTTTGTCATTAAACAATCTTAACTTATACCTGGTGGGACTAATTGTTTAGCAGATTTGTTCAGAAAGCAATTTTAAGACCGAATAACAGTGAATATTGCAGTTCACAGACATTGCATATTGTTTTTACTTTATAGGACGACAATTTGTGTGGCATTAAGAGAGATCAAGTGACAAATTTTCTCAGGCACCTATCAAATACTAGAATGTATAAAACAAAAATATTATGTAAAGATATTACGTAATTGTCATATGATATATGTAATGTTTTATTTGTAAAATCAATTAAAAAGATAAAAAATGAAACCCTTGGTTGACCAAGGCTCAGGGATTATAGCCCCTACCCTCTCGGATCTACCCAGGTGGTTATATTCAAGGAGAAGGGAAGACTTTATTTCAAGTAGCTACTATGTCAGATATACCACCTTCAGTTTTTTTTTTAAATGTTTATATATATATATATATATATATATATATATATATATATATATATATATATATATACTAGTTCAAAAGTTCATATCTAGAGGTGTGGTGGCTGAGCAGGCTAAAGCCTTTGGAAAATTTGCAATACCCGACAGTCTGATAAACCAAAGATATGAGTTCAAATCCTGGCGCTGAGAGGAATTTTAACTCTAGCAATAATAATGTGGCTATTTAATACCCTGATATAATTATTTAAAAATAAAGCTCAAAACAAAAAAACCCATGATGTGTTTAGTAAGTTATATTTCTTAAATTAAATAGATTAGTAATGTTTAATAACATTAATGAAATTAGGATTATGGTTTCATTGAATTCATCCTTGTGGTATCAAAGGGATTTTTTGTTCAAAATTAAGGGATTCTTTAGATGAATTCATGAAGTCTTAAAGAGTTGATCATTTGTTCATTAAAATTGTGACTTTCTTTTTAACCATACACAAATATATTTTTTTATATAAAACATAAACTTGTTATAATTAATACAAATATATTTAATAAAAAAAATGTATCAGCTACTTGTCTACACTTTCAATTTGGTTTGATTGATCATTCATTTCGTTTGTGATGGCTTCGGCTGCTTGAGCATTCATTTCGTTTGTGACAGCTTCAGCTGCTTGAACATTAGGATTCAGCAACCCATTGAGCCTTTGGTTCTCTTTTGTCAAATAGACAACCTTTTCATTGTATTTTTCTCGAAGTTTTTGAAATAAATCCATTTGAGTTAGGTACTCTGTCTTCAGTTTGTCATTTAACCTTTAAAAAAAAATATATATTTATATATATATCAGAATATTCTGGTAAATTAGCATCATTGAAGTTTAGTTTGCGATATTCTCATACTTCTCATAAAATGACATAAAGAAAATAAAAAATTACACTATTCAAAAAATATTCTTGATTTTAATATTTATGATTGTGCTAAATAATTATATTCCAAAAACATTTAATTTTGTCACATGTTATACCAAAATATATAGAATAAAAAAGGTGCATAATAAAGATGCATTCATAGAAGAACTTATTTTTGCAATTGAATCCCTGTTTATTACTAGTTAATCATTCATAATTTATTATAATATAATAATAATTATGGATTTTTGAGCAGAGCAGAGAAGTTTGAGTTAGAGTCTACAGAAGATGAGGATGAACTCGAAGATGCCAGTATGAAGCTTAAAAATGAGAAAGTCCCTAACTAACTAAACCAACTAACCTAACAACTAAGGACAACATTCAATCACAGCTTCTTCGAAATAGACGAGAATGAACCAAGAAAGCACACCACAACCTTATCCTTGACCTGTTATAAGAGATGAGGGTGGATGCTTCTAGAGGGGAATAAGACGGTAAAAAAAAAAAAAAATCTACCACTGCAACCTATGAAAGATCTTAGGCTCAGTAGTAGGTAAGGATGTACTATTTCAAGACCAGCAATTATGCAGGGAGGGGATAAAGCCAAGATGGTTGTAACAGTAGTTGCCAGACTCGAACCCTAAACCGGATGGATACTAACACAGTGCCTTTCTAGAATTTTGATAGATGAAGCTTAGAAGTCCATAATATGTCCAATCATATAATATGAACAATCTACAGTTAACCAGATATTTTCATCATCATCATAGAATCATGGAAAAGTACAAAGAGTGTAATGGGGTCACTCTTTACCTCTTTGCAAACTTTAAAGCAGCCTATGATAATGTTTACTGAAATAAATTATATGAACTTCTGGCTGAGGTGAGTACACCCAAGAAGCTCATTTGTATTTAAAAAATGACCATGAAAGAATCAAAGTGTGTAATAAAAATTCAATCCGATCTTATTGAAGAGTTCAGTGTAAATAAAAGTGTAAGAAAAGGTATAAGATGCTCTTACTAGTCACTCTTCAACCTTACACAAGAAAAAGCCTTTAGCAACTCAGGTATCCAAGGAGGTGAAACCATCTTTAACAGGTTGGTGAGCCTCCCAGTTTAGGTTCAAATACAAAAAATGACATGTCCGAGGAGATGAAAGAAAAATCATTGTTGTCAAGATGATGGCGATGATTCATACAGCCATACCCCTCATGTTATCTGGGTTTATGTATAGCTCAGAGGCCTGGACTATAACAAAGACTGATGTAAAAGAAGCTGTTGATATTTGAGAGGACAATCTTATAGAAGATCTCCAGATCTATAAAAGGCTGCATAGTATGGAGAAGATGCTATTAACATGAACTGTACATTCTTTATATCAGCCTAGATGTTATTTAGGCAGTAAAACTTGATGGCTGCAATGGGTAGGCCATGTGGTAAGAATAGAGGATATGCTGTTTTCCAAGGCCTTCACTGATGAAGTCTGTGAAGTGAATCAATATATACCTCATTTTAGAATGCATGTAAATTCACTTACGACATAGCCTCACTTAGACGTTGCACTGATAAATTGTGACGATTCCTTTCCTCTTTTATGGAATCTTCTATAGCTGCCATGTCTGCATGCAGATGCTCAATTTCCATATTCCTTATCCCCAGTAAATCTTTAGTAATAGCAATCACATCTTTCAAAGATTTAGCCTGAAATGATTTATTTAATTTTAAAAATGTATGCATATATATGTTCATTAAAAAAAAATTTGATTTAGCTATTTTTAAAAGATATTTAATACCTCTGAAAATTAATTGTTACTGTGATTTATTATTTCTCAAATATACAATATTTACTGCTTATTGTCTTTTGGGTCTGGCTCATTTTTGTGTTGATATCTCCTTATAAAAATTAAATTAAGGATTTAAATAAAAAAAAAAACCTGATAGGTTTTGAATCAGGTTTTGAGCACTATAATACTGTTTCTGCACTCAAATATCTTTCTCTCTTTTGATGATACATTTTATTTATAATATATTGGTTTAATGCCCTTCATATCAACTTTCCTGTTTTGTGTGAGCACTTTTTTTTTTTTTTAATTTATGAAAAAAGTAATATTTCCTTGGTTTATTTCAAAAAGTATATTTATAGAGGATTTTTAACTTTTAAGAATGTTTTTGTGAATTTCGACCTTTTTTATCAATATATGGTTTCTCCCGAAGTTTTTATTCATAAATGGAAAAATGATTGACCTTGAGATAAAGGTACGTGTGGTAACAATGAAAATAGTGAGAAAGCTACCTAGTCCTGTCATAAACATTTTTACAAGGAAATAAATACAGATTTCAATAGAAAAATTAATTTTTTCAAATACTTTATTAGAAAATAAAATGTATATCTCATCATCATAATCCATCCTCTTGAACTACATTAAGCAGTGTGAGGAGGAAGTCTATAGAGCCTTCTCCAGCTCTGCCATTCTTCCACAAGACACCTTCTATCATTACATTGAAGTCCTCTTCTCTGGAAGTCGCTCTTCACTTCATCCTCCCATTTCCTTCTAGGCCGTCCTCTTCCTCCCTTGCCCTCTACTTTAGCTCGCTAACTATCCTGTTTGGTTCCATTCGTAGATGTCCTAGCCATCTCTGTAGATTTTCTTCTATCACATCATTGGCCAGCTTAATATTGAGGTTCAATCTGATGGTTGTGTTGTCTCTTCTTGTTTTCCCCTCAATCTTTCGGAGGAATCTCATTTCTGATGCTTGTATCCTTAATTGATGTTTCTTTGTCAGCTTGCATGATTCTGAAGAGTATATTAAAATGGGAAGAAATGTCTATCTGAAAACAGCCACCTTTGTTTTCTTTTCTACCTCTCCCCTGTTCTCTCTAAACTGCTTCAAACATCCTGCTCGCAGCAGCGATTCGCTCAGTCACCTCTGAATCGATGTATCCATTTTCATTAAGGTGTGCGCCCAGATATTTGAAGTTTTCTACTTGTTCGAGGATTTTGTCTTAGGCTCTGATGATGCACATATTTCTCCGAGCCTTCTTTCCAACCCCCATTACTTTTGTTTTTAGAGGGTTAATATTAATCTCCCGCAATTCTTCTTTTAATTTATTAATATTGTACTGAAGATTCCTGTCATTGCCCGAAAAAATAACGTCATCAGCGAATGCAAGTATTGAGAGGTGCACTGATCTCAGGTTGACATATCATAGGTGAAATTTCTACATTTTTCCTTTAGCCCTTCGTATTGCTGAGTCCATCACTGGTATAAACAAAAGTGGACTAAGACTACAGCCTTGCCGGATTCCAATTGTTGTTTTGATTTCCTGTGAAGTGCATTTGGCAAATCTTACTATGTTTCTTGTTTTCTTGTAGAGACTCTCAACCGCCAGGGCATGATCAATCCCTTTTTCTCTCAAGGCCTCCAAGATATCAGACTTTCTCACCCGATTGGAGGCTTTTGTAAGGTTAACAAAGCACACCAACATTTCCTTTTCTTTTTTAAATATTTTTTCGAAAACTTGTCTCATGGTAAAGATAAGGTCCTGGGTGCTACGATTTTCCCGGAAGCTGTATTGTTGTTCTTCAAGTAATCCTTTGATTCTTCTTCTTGTTCTCTTTTCTAAGATCTTAGAGTAGATCTTACTTGGTACGCTTAATAGAGATATGCCTCAGTGGTTGTTACAATCTCTGTTATCTCCTTTCATAAAGATAGGGACGATGATGGCTATTTCCTAATCTTTCTGTATTTTCTTTTGCTTCGACACTAAGTTTAGCAGATGCTGCAGGATTTCTTTTCCTTTCAGCTCCATGTATTTCAGGAGTTACACCACCTCTACCTGCTGATTTCTCTAGCTTCATACTCCAGATTGCTTCCTCCAGTTTGTCATCGCCAATAAAGTCGTTTTCCAAGGATCTATCTCTCTTGTCTCTTTATCTACACAGAGTGTCTGTCCATTTTCATTGAACAGATTTTGGAAGTATTCCCCTCCACCTTTCCATTATCTCATACCTCTGCCTGAGATGTTTTGGCTGAGTTGACCTGGCCTTGTGAGCTGGAGCGGAATCCTGCTGAAAAACCCAATGACTGCTTCCAAACAGAGTATCATTTAGAGGCTTGACAACAGGTTAAAAAAATGTCCTTATAGTTTTTGGCGGCTGTTTTAACTCCTTTTTCACAAAAATGGAGCTTTGTGATGCCATCAAAGCAAACTCCCCACCAACTCTTCCAATGACTTCCTGGGCTTCTCTAGAGCTGTGTGCATAAATGCACGATCATTTTGGTGATTAAATTTTTCTTTAATTGTAAAAATTTTCTCATCGCTTAACAAAATCTTTCGATGAAGACCATTGATGTAACGGCCAAGGAGCACTTTGCATCTATCCACTCTAATTTATTTTAGGGAAGTGGTTAGCCTTTGTCCTGTCATTCTTTGAAATGCACCCATCCTATGGTCACTTTTTACTAAGCTAGACATTGATCTGACAGAGATTTCCATTTCCCGAGACATGATTTGTTGTTTTCGAATGTGATTTCTTCTGATTCAAGCAGCCACTGCTCTCACTGTATTTACTGTTCTCACAGTGCTGGGATGGCCCGGCCCGGTGGAGGTCTGTCAAATACAGATAGGGTCTCATTATATCTATTTATAGTGCGGTACACGAACATACAGCTGATACCCTGAAGATTTTAAGGTGTTGAAAATCTCTGACCCACATTTTCCAACTTTGTGTTAGGCAATCACAGCTATTCGGTTTTCTTTATCACCCCACTCCAAGTTAACTGAATGAAAGAAAAATACAAACTAATTGGGATTATTATCCTGACTTGTAAAGAAAAATATCTGATAGAGGTAAGGATTATCTAAATAATACCCAAGGATGTAAACAAAGTTCAACTTTTGTAACGGTTTTTATGGCAGAACTAGTTGTACTGGCCTCACTTGGCTGACATTTTTTAAGGCATATTATATTTTAAAGTTTAATGCATTTATTCTCAGTTTTAATATTTTCTTTTTAAACTTGTTTGTTAATAGTATAACTATATATTATATAGTACTCAGATATAGTACTAAAAGTACCAATGCTTTACCTGGCTTATTAATGCGCTGTTTTGTCTGTCCAGATTTGCACATAGATCAGTCTTTTCTTTTAGAAGGTGGATTAGCTTAACTATAAACTGTTGTAGGTCAATATTTTTCTTTAATAACTGCTGTTCAGACATGACATTCTCAACCATTCCATCATCATTCAAGATGTTCATTACATGATCTGTTAGCTCTTGAATATTTACACATTCAGAGGTATCTGTATCCTCACTTTGTTGTAGATTCTCCTAGAATAAAATATTTTTCAATAATTACACTAGTGATGGAGTAATATAGTATAATAAAACATGAGTATATTTGAAATCAGTGCTAAAACATAATGTATCTAGTACATAATGAACATAACCTCCTATGGAAGTTGTAATATAAATATTTGTGATATTGTTTTATTTCTATTACTTGAGATTTACAATTAATTATTTTCTTCAACATTTTAGAAGCCAATAAGCAAATTCTTACCGATTCTGTTTCTTCCTGTGTTCCACTATTTTCATTAACAACTGCAGAATCTTCATTGTGTTTGACAGAGTTTTCAGCTTTCTCTATATTTTCTGTTTTATTCTTCGTATCTGTTTGAATTATTTCCTTTTTATCATCTGAAACATTTTTAAAAAATTTGTAATTAAAAAAAAAGTGAGAAAGCAGATTTATAAATGATTGACTTGCATAAAATGATGGGACTTTCTTTTTTTGATTTATGCTTATTTGCATTATGGATGTTCACAGATTAATTGATGAATACATTTGATAGTTACTATACATATTAATTTCCTTCTTAATCAAAAGATTGTTTTATATTCCGTGAAGATTGGAATAGTTAGCATTGAATTCATTGTGTATTTTTATATGTTTAAAAGTATTTTTTTCAACCATTTATTATTATGTTTAAATAAATAGGTCATGCTGGAAGGCTGTTCCAATACATGATCTGAAGACAATGAATGAGAAGAAGTATGTAAGTGTGCTGTTAAAAATATTTCTTTCAGGGTGTGAAATTGAAACAAATTTGGACCCCTTTAAAGTATGAAGGATATAACAAATTAAAATTATCAAATTAAGTACAATATAAAATCTAATCACAGTAACTTAAGTACAATATCAGTTTTTTTTTTGGTTTGTTTTTAATACATTGGATAAATACTTCACAAAAATTAAATTTAAAATTCTGTTTAAAGCTTTTAGTAAAATTATCCAGTAAATTTACTGGTCATAAATATACAATAATCATATATTGTTATATAATTTTTGAAATCTACATGCATATTCAGGAATTTGAAATACTGTACTAATTATGGACAAAGCCATTCAGTGAATGCACCTTTTATTTAACAGAGGTGGTGAAATGGAGCTTTTTCATATCACTTTAAAGTTCTAATATAGTACCTATACTTCTAAAACCATTAATCCCAATTATGTGATAGACAGCAGTGGTTGTTGGAGGTCCCCATCATTAATATTACATATTTGTGAAGTACTTATATTAAAAATAAAATTGTGATTTTGTCTATAAAATTCTTTTTTCCTGATAATCATCTGGCATCTTTTTCGACATTTAAAAAATATTATGTATGATGAATAGAAGCAGAAAATTATAATTGTCAGGAAAAAACTATTCAATCAATAACTAATACGGGTCTACGACCTTCTTATTTCATTTACTAGCATTTAATAGTTGGAAATTATTTTTTAAATAAATTTTTAATTATTGAATATACTCACTGCTTGTTGTAGAATCATTTGTAGTTTCTGCTGTGGTTGATATATTAGTGCTATTTCCTGGTGTTTCTTGATTTTCTTTTTTACATTCTTCAACTTGAACATTTTTTTCTGAAACACTATCGGTTTTATTTACTTCAGGCATTTTTGAGTCAAGCTCTGCAATGCTTGCCATATTGTCTGTGGATGTCACTTTTGATTCTGTTGAAGAATTTGTTTGAACAGAAGAATCATTTGATTCCATTTGGACATTTAGAGGCAACACTTGTGGTTTGGGAGAACCATTTTCTTCATCTGTTGTAGTCACTGTTGTTTTTTCTGAAACACTCTTATCAATAGCCTCTAGTTTCGTTTCTGATAAAATTGCTTGTCCAGTATTGGAATCAGATGAAGGATCTTGTCCCACTGGTTTTGCTGCTGTTTCAAGAGATGGAGTTGTTGACATATTGTTACCTTTTGGAGTAAAAAATAACAATATAATCCAAACATTTAAATAAAATGATAAAAGAGATTTTGGTGTATGGTTTAGGAAATTTCAAACAAATTAAAGTTATTAGAAAAGTGATAGTGCCAAACCTAACTATGTTGAACTAACAATTATTAAAAATGTCTATTTATTATTTGATTTTTGTTATTGATTCCCCATTGATCCTAGATTTCTAATAGAAAACTTTGTGTATGTTGAATAAAACATGTTTTGTATATAAAATTTTAAAAAATAAATTAATATATTTCACCAGCAAGATTTTATATACTACTTGGCCTAAAATATGAAACATTACTCAGTGTTTCTTTGAGTGTGCGTAAGGTCTGCAAATGAATATTTTTAGTAGATGCTTACATTAAATTTGTATATAAAAAATCCATAGTTAAATATATAATTTAAAAAACAAATTTGTCATAAGTTTCTGAATATTGAATTTCAATATTTTTTCTTTATTAAGAAAAATATATATAATGACAATAAAATTGAAATTTTTTTTTATCCAATTTCATATAAGGGAGTACGTGTAATTCACTATAAATGGAATTAGAACAATTTGTCTTCTTACCCAGTTTTGGTTCCTTTTTTGATAGATATTAACTTCCTGAAAATATCACAGAATAATGAGCTAATAAACAGAAGTCACTTATTCACCACCTTAGGAAGATGAAGAATTCTGTCTAGAGCGAGAGTTAGAGTTATGCTGCCAATGATGGGCGATGTAAAGCAGCAAAAGCAGGCAAAACTTGGACAAAACTTTAGGAGTAGCTACCCTGTGAGTTGCTGTATAGTCTGCCATACTGTATTCAGGAGGTCATCTAATTTTAACTGAGATTCAGAGGCATATGAGCTCTCCTCCAAGTTCCTATAGACCCTCTATATATAGTTTAAGGAAATTTCATGCGCATATAAACTATTTTAAGCCCAATGTTTGGTGTTTTGATCTCTATTATCAACATCATATAAACTAAGAAAACTAAATATTTCTTGTATAATATATTCTTCATATTCTGAGTATAAATGTATTTTTAATAATTCTATATAAATTAAAAGCATGGATGAGTCAGTAAAATGTTAAATTGGATGAATAATAATTCAAATGAAGTATTTTATTAACAAATATTTTATCTATCGTAACAATTAAGTAAGTTTCATAGAAAACCAATTAAGATAAATTTTAATTAATTAAGTTAACGAAAATTAAGTTTCATTTGTATCAAAACTTTTGAAATATTTTAACATGATGTTTAACATTGAGCAGTTTAAAAAAAACTAATTTAATATTATTTATCATTCCAAAGATATTAAAAAATAATGATTCAAAATATTTGACTTTTTAGTTTTATCAAACAGTAAATTGTTCATTATATATAAAAAAAAAACTCAAATATAATTTTTTAGATAATTATTTTCTCTGACCATATGTTAACATCTATTGATTTGGGTGAATAATTAACAAACTGTTGTATTTATTTTAATGAAAAAACAAAATTAATTTTAATTAAAAAGCAAAACATTGATTATTATTTAATAATAATGGATTATGTTAGATTGTTATATGGTTATAATATAACATGTAGACAAATATTGTGCATTTTTTATTGTTTGCAAGAAGAAAGAAAAATAAATAATTGAAATTGAAAAAGAAAAATTGCGACTAGTTATAATTAGACAATTTTTGTGTTGGTTCAATGCCATCTGGAAGGACCTAACCATGGATGTATTTTTTATTGTAGCAACTTATTGAGATTAAGGGTCAAGCTAAATTTATTTTTGTATTGAAAATAATATATCTTCACTTCTTTATCAATGTAATTTCTCATTTTGTCTACAGCAATGTTTTCACTTCATTTGAAATCATTTATTTAAAACCAGAAGTGAAATATTTTTTTATCAAACCATCTTTGAATGTTATCTTGATAGCATTTAAAGAATTGGAAACAAAATTTTATAGATAATGGAAATTGTTAGCAAATTCAACTTTTTTTCTTATTAAGAACATTGGTGAACCAAACTAGCAATACATAGTTTAGAGCATTTTCTGAATTCATTATACAGTTGTTAAATTTTCTTGATTATTGATCATCTGATAGGTATACATGTGTAATGTTTAATAAAGAGGACTGTTTGCTTGATAAATAAACTTTTTCTCTGGATGATGCAATAAATGTATTTATATATATTATTAATTTTTTCTCTTTCATATAAGCATCAACCTCTATTAACATATGCATTCATCCCTACTCAAACCTTTTCTGTCTGGAACCTATTCTCTCTAGTCAGTCATTAACAAGTGACTCACTCTGAGAGAATTACTCTTTAGATTTCTTTAATGCCCAAGGATAAATATATATTATTTTCAAACACAAGATTTATTTTTCATTAATTAATTTACTGTTTAATACAACATGCTTTCTTCCTGTAGATATGCTTTGTAGTAAGTTCCATACAGTTATAGTAAGACTGTATATCTGCCCTTCAACTCCTTGAGCACATCCTTGATAGTTAAAATTGGCATCCATGGAGCACAGAATTTAACAAGTATTTAAGTGCTCATCAATGAAAAGGGAACACCCAATAAAGGCATTTATTCAAAAAATCTCAAGAGAAAACTTTAACTTGGTCCTTGAAATATAAATATTTCTTTAAAAAAAAATCATATCTAGTAGGAATAGCCTAGCCCTAAATTGTGCCATAATGTGGACATCAAAACCTACTAGCTTTATTGATTTTCGAAGGTGCTGTAACATCTTAAGGCTCTGGAATGTATCTAACATTATTATCAGAAAGGGCAAGAAAAAAATATTAATGATTGAAGATGACACATGGCCGAACATTTTTTTTCCCAATATACCAGAATATAGGATAAGGGTAATGCCAAGACAAATAAAAGGTGTTATGTAAGTTATGGCTGCAACAGTATATTTTGGGGGTACAATATAATGTTGCATAAAACTGATCAGAGCTGAATGTTTTTTTTTTTTGTTATCAGGTCCCATCCACAAAACCCCTCAACACATGCCTAATATGATCAATATTGAATTTCATCTCGTCGATATAAATTTTGTACAAAGAAGAACCTTTTGTAGTCATAATCTAAGAGATATGAACAGCTCTGTCATTGCTTTCAGTTAAGAATTATTTTTCTACATTTATTTTGTTAATATATTAAGTCATTTATTAAATATAACTGGCCAGTAATTAACTACATATTAATTTAAACAATCATTAATAATTTCTATAAGTTGATGTTACAGACATTTTCTTATATTAGTGAAAAGTAAAAGAATTTAATTTTTTAGAACTGTTTCTGGAAGAATAATACTAGTGATAAAATTATAATGAAAACAACTGAATAAATAGTATGTTAGCAGAATATGATAAAATAGGGCACGTTTACAGAAATTAAAACATATTTTCAAATAATTTAATAAATTTCAACAATTAAACTTTGCAATATATACGCAATGTCAACATTTTTCTTTTATGTGATATACCATATAGGAAAGTCTGGTCTTTGCTATCACATACCATGTTACTTCTAATGATTAGCTCAAAGTTTCAATTTTGGTTGACAGGTTTTAGAAACAGATGAGCTTACCCCATGTCTGAGCTGTTTGAATGCATTACAGCATTCTTTGCATGACGGGAAAAAAAAAAAAAAAAATGTTTCAATTATAAATAGAAATAACTACAAATTTTAAAAAATACATGTTACCTAATATTGTTAACATTATTGTAAAGAATACAACAAAAATGTATGAATAGGGACAATAAAATCAACATAATATATATTCTTATAAATCATGAGATCACTGACACTGATTTGAACTTAATTGTCTGTCTACTAGCATTTTGGACTGTGATCACTGGGGTTTCATTTGGTTTAGCTGCATAGGATCTTCAAAATGCGATGGCGGTCTGAAGTTGTCTGCTTGAAGGCGTGTGAATATAATACCCACACCTTCAATTAGAGCGAGGAGAACTCCACCAATGACAGCACTGCCGACCATGGCTGGTACACCATTCCTAGCAGCAAGAATACCACCAGTAGTTGCCGCTGAAATTATGGAGTTCCAAGGATCTTCTTTTTGCCGAAAGTGAACAAGAGTACAATCAATGGTAGAAAAAACACCTCCCCACACAGCAAAACTTCCACCTAACATAGGACCTTTCTGTTTTACAGCAGCTAAACTTCCCTGTAACAAAAAATATATAGATTATATAAATATACATAATTTTTATTTAGTTTTTTAAATGAAAAGGAAATTTAACAAATACCAATTAAATGTTACCATAGCAAGACCACCAACAATGTAACAAGAATATATTTGTATTTTCATTTACTTATAAAATTTATGAATAGCAAGGAAATGCATTGCGATTGTGAAAATTAACAGATCTGAGTTTTCAACAGAAATACAAACTTTGAGGTCTCTTGAGTCAATAACCAAGTTCCACAAAATGATCAGTGTGTCTGTTTGTGGGTTTGTATGGACAGCAACTTCTTCCTTAAAATCGACTAACCGGAAATGCCACTTTATATCATCGATTTGATTAAACTCAGTAGTTCAATGTACAATTAAATGGTTTTTGACCTAGCTTATGCTATAGTATAAATTATAGGAGTTAATTCTCTATCACTTATTACATTTATTCTCATTGATGAAGCCTAACCTTAAATGCCAAATATTCAAAATTTCTTCCTCAAAAGCATCTTTAATTTGTTTTTTTTTTAAAATAATTACTATCTCTATTGTTACTAGCAATAAAAAAAAATTCTAAATGTCATTTACGGTAAAATCAATTTCAGGAAATAATAGTGTATATGTATAAAACTACCATTGGAAAAATGAGAATTTTAGAAAAAAAGAATATCTAACATGCAAAGTCAGAAAATAATGGAGTAACAAAAAAAAAAAATATATATATATAAATGTTAAAGAAAAAGTAGAATATAAAAATATTTTATGGATGTGCATAACCTCAAATATATTTAAATAATTAAAGGTATTTATCATTGATTTATTCTAAAAAATCACTAAGTAACACTTTAAAAAATTAAATCAGTGTATAATTTGATGAATTTTCACTCTGAAATTATAACATCATACACTTACTATTATTGTGATGACTTTTGACCAATCAATACTCCATTGAAAAGCTCATAACTGTATTTTGATTAATTTAAGAAGGGGAGAAAAAAGAGTTTTAATAAATAACTCCTATAATTTACACTGAGTGATAAATAGTCAGGACGCAGTCATTATAAAGATTTTTTTATTTGTGCCAACGTTTCAACCCAAACATGTGGGTCATCTTCCGGGCTGAAAATTTTAAATACAATCAGAGATATAATATTATTATAATGATAAATAATAAACTATAGTAATTGATGGTGCATGAATCTTAACTATTATTACAATACACAATATTAAAAATTAAATACGTAAAAAGTTATACAAACTAAAAATAATATATATAATCTATTTATAAAAAATTGTAATATTTTCTCTTACTAACCGTGGTTCGAACACTGAAGACTTTTAAGTACTGACACATTTGGTAGGTAAGTGAAAAGGTCGGGGAGAGGGGGAGGGCATAAGACATAAGACAATATATTATACAGTATTTTAAAAATAACAATATTAATCATAAATGTTAATAAAATAAACGTTGGCACAAATAAAAAAAATTTTATAATGACTGTGTCCAGACTATTGATCACCCATGATACGTAGAACTGTCGACTAGCTTCCTTCTATAATTTATACTATGTAATACAATAGATACTTATTCAAAGATTAAATATATGTACTTTGTATATACGTTTCAGAGACCAGAGTTATGTGGTTCAAACAGACTATAGTTTTTAATGCATACTGTCCATATTATAAATAGTTTGTGTTTTTTTGATGGACTTAATGAATTTTTGCATCCATTAAAAATGCATAAAGATCAAAAACTTTATGTATTTAATAGCTCAATTTTACTAGACAATAAATTCTTTTCACAGTAGAGTGGTAAGTGAAAGTTATATGATCCGTGTACCGAATGTTTTGAAAAAAACTATGTTCTTTTTGAAAGGTATACAGCAAAACATATTATTTTTCAATAAAACAACAAAAAGAACTAAAATAATTGTTATTAGTTTTATTATTTTACTTTTTAATATTATTAATTATGCAGAAATTATTTATTAGGAGGTGTTCTGAATTCACAGAATATGTACATTTAGTGCAATTAAAATTTTGAATGTTTAAATCATATTAATTGATAACAAAATAACTCACGATTCGAAAATGTTCAAGATCACAATACTATATATATATATATATATATATATATATATATATATATAGAGAGAGAGAGAGAGAGAGAGAGAGAATGGTTAGTGAAAGTAATAACAGGTGATTCTAAAAGTTTTACTGGCAGTGTATATTATATTTCTATTGGCTTTTTAAGCTAAATTTGTCGAGAATTTTGACTTAAGGATATTATTAGCTGTTTAAAAAAATACACGATTAATGAAATAAAAAGAGGTACTAGTTCACAAGTATTAAATCTGGTTGATAAGGTGATTGGGATGAAGTGTTGTGAACATCTCACACTGATCACCCTGGTGAAGGCCTAAACATCGGCACACAATAAAATGATAGTAACTTTTCTGTTATTGTCTTATTAGTAAAGGAACTAAGTTTTTATAAAAATCATAATTTAAATATTTGCCATAATAAAACATATGATTACATTAAAAAAAAAATATGAAGATTAATTAAACAATGATGAAGATGAATTTGAAAAAATTGTTTAGAAAAGTGTATGATGACAAATCTGCTGTGAAATTTTTTCAGGATCACGGCATTATTGAAGAGAGCAAAATGTGTTAAATTGGCCACTCTATGTCAATTATATATAAGGAAAATCGAGATCCACATTGGAGGTGTTCAAGAAATATTTGTAAGTGTGAATGCAATTAATTGGAGGGGTTTAAATTGCCCTAGGATGCAATTATTAGTACTTTTCCGTTAGCTGGGCGAAAAAAAAAAAATGTAGAATCCCGCCTAGTTTCTTACAACCATGTCCGTTTAGGGTAATGTGCTCTATTCTCTGAACTTATTCAAAACAAAGCACATTTTCTTTTTTTTTCTTCCATCTTAATTTTTTTTTTAAATGGTGAAAATTTGGGATATAGCCAGAACTGAAGAAGATGCAGTCTCTTTTTTTCAAGAAGAAGCTATATTGATAAACATCTTTGAGATGTTAGTATTTGTAATATTTGTGTAGAGGATTTTGTGTTTTTTTGCACCCGGCTATCGGAAAAGTAAGCAATAATCCATTTTATTTATCACTGTTGGGCTTATGATTTCATGTCAATTGATTTCTGTGATCGGGAACTGAGCATGGCTCACTGCAGTGTTATTGACTACAATAATTACATAAGAGAGGTAAGTGTCTAAAAGTGAATGAGAAGGATTTATTGTAGAAATATACGAAAGTTTATTCATGAAAAGAAAAAGTAATGTTGGTAGAAAGGTAAAGGAGCAGTGCGTGTTCGGAGACTGTTTCCTTCGTAGAGGTGAAGAAAGATCTGCGGCAACTCTATAACCAATAATTTGTGAGCAAATAAAAACCGGTTCAATTATTATGATTGATAGATGGAAGGCGTATAATAGAATAATATATGAAGGATACCAACATCTTTGTGTAAATCACAAATATAATTTTGAGGAACCTGAAAGTTCTTCCAATACTCAGAAAGTAGAAAGAATATGTGCTCTGCTAAATGGAAACATAAGAAAATTCATGGAACCCACAGAACTTTACTAGATTCGTAATTTGCAGAATTTATGTGGTGCCAAAAATTAGAGCGACGGATCCAATTTATCTCAATTATAAAAGATTTCCATTATTCTTACAATGACTGTTTTCTTGTTAATAAATAATTTTACGCACCATATGTTTTTATTGTAATTTTACCATATTATAGTTTATAAAAAGAATTTCTTTTTTTTACCAGTGGGACAATAACAGAAAAGCACCAAAATGACTTTTTATTAGTGTTACCTTATCTATCACCGCCCATTTCCTCCACCATTCCTATGAATATAATTTTAAAATGTCAGCTGG